GTCTCTTCTCGGGGGTCTGTCATCGTCGCGACGCCTCTGACCCCGATCTCTGTTCCAGTCACGATCGTCTCGCCTAGAATCGTATCTGTCCTCTCTTTCTCGAGCGCGGTAATCTCTGCTAGACGAGTATGAATTGTCGTTTTCGCGTCGCGATGACCGATGGTGCGGCGATCTGGAACGTCTGCGATCACCTCTATCTCGATTCCTATCCCGGTCGCGGTCTCTTCGGTCGTCTCGATCGTATCTTGAACCCTGGAGAATATTAGTGCGTTCTTGCTTGTCCTTTCCGAAAGGTGTGCCTACGTGATGCTCTCTCGAGCGCCCCGAGTCTGTAACTGTCAGCCAAGAATCCACCTTTGCGAAGCGACTACTAACCTCTCGAGGCGTAATTGTCCCCGTTCATCACGTCGTCTTAGAGCCTGGTAGTTTTGGGGTAACTTTATTGGCTGCGACACGACAGGGCTCTTGGGTAGTAATTGTCCGATGAACAATCGGGACAATTTCTCGTTTGACAACTTGGCACAGCTGAGTGTGGTGCAGCAGAAGGTAAGGGGGTTCTTTCAGCGTCGAAAATATCAATGCAGCTGTACTCGAGCCTCATGCACTACACGACGCAGCCAACCGACCGCATGTCTCGAAACTTTTGGTTCATTGGCTTGGCAAGTTTAGGACCATTCTCCCGCTGCTTTTACAGTCCAGGTTACTCTCGTATGCACTAACTCCCTCGCGCACTTGAAACCTCATTAATGCGCCTTCACAATTAAGCGACTACATATCATAACCTGCTTTCTCGGCCGACGACTGTGGAGCATGGATGATGAGAACTCGATGCGTCCTAGAGATGAATGCCTTCGAACGGACTTTGCGGACTTGGGGCAAGGTCCAGCAGAGCTTGACTTGTACTCCACACGTCGAAAGTCGGCAGTTTCGCCAGAAACAGCATAGTCTACCAACCCTGAATACCGTCCTTGGCCGTCTGCAGCATCACCAGAACCACATATGGATGCGAGTCTGCACAAGGTCAAGGTATGTGTGCACGGCTGGGTCGGATCCATTGGTCCGTAAGTACGGGATATGAGGCCTGTTCATCTTCTCGTGCTGCAACAGCAACTGGATGGCTCCATCAGTGGAAAGGTATAAAGATCCCAGGTAGGTCGCAGCAAGGACTTCAACTTCCACCAACTTTTCGAGTCGTTTCAGAGCCACACAGACACTAGCACAGCACACACGCGGCTAAACAACCATGGCAACGCGAATTGTTACTTTTGTGACAGGTAAGCATGTCCCTGCATTCCCACATACCTACTTACTCGTGGTAGGGGGCAATGGTGGGATCGGATATGAGGCTGTCAAAGCGCTTCTGCAGTCCAGCAAGCCCTACCACATTTTGATGGGCAGCCGTTCGTTGGACAATGCAAAGACAGCCATTGAAACCCTCAAGAAAGAATGTCCAGAGGCTACCAACATCGTTGAACCTGTTCAACTCGACCTGACCAGCGACGAATCGATCCAGAAAGCATATGAGCATGTCAAAGCTGATCATGGCCGTCTCGATGTGCTCGTCAACAATGCAGGTACGTACTCCACCCACCAGAATAGTTGCCAACCAAGCTAAGCTTTTCAGGGGCATCCTTCGACATCGAGTACGTCAAAGGCAATGTTTCTCTCCGCGATAGCTTCAACAAGGCCTACGACGTGAACGTTGCAGGTACAAATGTCATGACCTGGACATTCGTGCCGCTGCTGTTCAAATCTGCGGATCCGAGGCTGTTGTTCGTCACCGGTCTATCCGGCATCAACCAAGCAAGCCAGAAGTACTGGCCCACGCCACCTCAGCCAGCAGGGTGGCCGAAGGAGATATCATTCGAGACCATTGGATATCGCTGTACTAAATGTGCTCTCAACATGCTCATGCTAGATTATAACCACAAGCTGAAAGCGGACGGCGTGAAAGTCTGGGCCATTGCACCTGGTATGCTGGCAACGAATCTTGGAGGCTTGGGTCCGGTCGAAATTGCGAAACTCGGCGCCAAACCCCCACATCTTGGTGGAGAGTTCATCAGGGATGTTGTTGAGGGTGTAAGGGATGCTGATGTTGGCAAGGCTGTTTCGAAGGACGGCTTCATGGATTGGTAGGATGATAGCTATGGTTATGTATACAGTGAACCGAGGACTCCGCTAGCCAGCATCAAAGCAGCTCATGTAGCTCTGCGACTACGCCTTGCGCCGATGATTATACACCTAACAGGGTTTTACAGTCACTCCTAATGTTCTACAAATTCGATCCGAGACATTACATACGCGTCAAGCAGAGGCGCAGCGACATGCTAGGCAGCAACATTAGGATGTTGTCCCTAAGAGTCCTCGAGGTATGGCCCCTATCTCCACAATCTCCTTTGTGATATACAGTAAGGCGTCCACGGAGTTGCTCGGGCCACCCCAGAACGTTCTCCAAAAATCAGGGGAAATTACGTCTCATTCGAACATCTTGCCCCGACGGTCGGCATGTAACTAACGCTTCGGATTTTTCAAACTTTTGGTCATGTTCGAGGAGTTCTTCCTCATCGGCCTCGTCACTCGCATCATTAGCTTATGTGCTGTGCACAAAAGAGCAGATGCTTGCGCTCAAGGGCGAAGCACCCTGGTCCCTAAGTTCTTACCCCATCCACTCCCTGCTTGCTCTGAATACTGGTCCCAACCTAGTGATGCGTCATATGCTGACCAGCGACGCGACGCAACTTGGCGATGCCGTGATCAAGCGTTGCATCGACCACAACACATCGTGAAGCTAAACACGGATATCGGCATCTTCTGGATGCAGAGGCAGAGTGACGAGACTCTTATAAGAGCAGCTGCACATCACTATTCAGCATGGCCCTGAGATATTCCTTTCTACACGCGACTATGAACATGGCTTTGCTAATCTTGCTCCAAGTTTTGGGCATCGTCTCCCTCAGGTAGGATTCATTTACCCCGAAAAAATGTTGCATCTGGTACTGATGTCGGTACCATCACAGCACGTCCCAGGCAGTTCTCAGGAGGCAGTCTCAAGGAGAGCCGTTGACTAGCATCTATCCGTGAGTCCTACTGTGTCTCAAACAAGTCTTCCATGAGCTTTTGGTGAAAGTTCCTCGAGGACATTCAACACCTCAAAACCAATCTGACTAGGAAGTCAGGACGCAGAACTTCACGATGCCCGTGGACCATTTCCAGAACGAATCTCGATATACGCCTCATACGAATAACACCTTTCAGCAAAACTACTGGTTGGACACGAGCAACTACGTTGAGGGAGGGCCCGTTATTGTTCACGCCATGGGCGAAGATAGCGTAGGCGATCTAGATTGGCTTCAAAGCGGGCTCGTACACCAGATCGCCAATGCCACTGGAGGAGTTGCTGTGCTTTGGGGTCAACGGTTTGTCTGTTTCCCCGAGTCATGGCCCAGCTGAACATCGAGTATAGTTACTATTCCGGCGGCACCATCATCCCGTTCGGACAGTACAATACCAGCAACCTTCGGTTTCACAGCACTGAACAGGCGCTGGCCGACCTTGCATACTTTGCGCAGAGGGCAGTGTTCTCTGGCCTCGAGCACAAGAACCTGACCGCGCCTGGTACACCGTGGATCATCATTGGAGGCTCCTACGCCGGCGTCATCTCTGCATTCACCCGCATCCAGTATCCCGACCTCTTCTGGGGCGGGATATCTTCATCCGGAATAACAACAGCGATAGATGACGCTTGGGCTTACTACGATGTGGTACGACGCTATGGTCCGAAGGACTGTATCAGCACCCAGCAACAACTCGTCGGGCTGATGGATAATGTGTACAGCAGTGGCAACAAGACAGCGCTTCGACAATTGATATCCGCATACAATGTCTCCGAATCCACGCCATATCCAGATTTACAATCCTATCTCACCACGCCACTACAGGCATGGGACCTGGGGTGGGCTTACCACACCACTCCCATCAACGGCAAGTATCTTGCCACCATTGTGAGTGGCCATGTCGAGCTGACACAAAGTAGGCTCGGGGTCATACTGCAGCTACATCACGAACCAAGCAGACGTCGCCAACGCGAGCAGCACGCTCAAGGCTACTGCCCGCTCGTTGCTCAGCTATGCCAATAAGACCGCAACACCCAACGCCAACGAGTTGTACTATCCTTTGCTCAATTTCATGGGTTTCGTGCTCAACACCTACATCTACTGTCATGGTCAAACCGTGGCAGAATGTCTCAGCCTCTACAGCCCTTCCCCATTCAATTGGCTCGTCTGCACAGAGTATGGTCAATGGGGGACGGGATATACTCCAGGTAGCCCAGGCCACCCTGCCGCTCTGCCCTTGGTCTCTCGCACACTAATACCAGAGTACTTCATCAACCAATGCAAGCAGACTTACAACATCACTTCTGGCCCACAACTGCAGCGGTTCAACAAGTACGGAGGTGTGAACCTGTCTTATCCACGACTGGCAATCTCGACAGGCCAATTCGACTTCTACAGGCCCTTAGGCCCGTTGGCAGAGTTTCTGCCGAACACCACGGCGGCGCCGAATCCCAGGATCGCGAGTAACGGCACAACTGCCGCGCCTCAGATCGTGATACAAGGAGCGTACCATGAATGGGACTTTTACGGATTCCTGCCCAACCAGACAACGACATTCAAGGCACCCGTTGCTGTTCAGAGTGCGAAGAGTAGGGAGATTGAGGCCGTGAAGACGTGGTTGCAAGAATGGAATCAGACTCACCCATAGCAAAAATAGTCACTAAGCCAAATCATTGGATAATGCCATTGTATATGCGGCATTTATTACGTTCTACACCCAGGCAACAAAAACAAGGCGCTTGTCTTCATGACTAAAAAGATAAAGGCAAGTCCTATGGGTTGTAGGATAGGAAACCTTTATCGAGGTCCCGACCCTGAGTTGAACTTGGACGGGGAACTCAACTCGACTCAAAAAAAAACGAGGTCCTCAGAAGTGAGGTGAGTTGATGTTCGAACCAGGTTTCGAACCTGGGACCTCATCGGATTTGGGCTCACAAGGTGTGAACGATCTTTGATAGGGGTTAGAAAATGACTATGTTTGAGAAAAAGTCCAAAACTTACGCGTGATAACCACTACACTATTCGAACATGATTTTGAGCTTAATTTTGCTGGGTTTATCTTATATCGTACGCCATAAATGACGTAAGGCTTGCCTGACAAAGTGGGGAGTTTGGGCAGCTGCGGACTGCTGACAGGCCTGCGAGCGGGGTGTTTTGGAGCGTTGAGCAGCCTTGGTAGAGGATCTTAAGCGTACTCGTACAGGGCAACAACCTCGGGCAAATGCCGGCGAACGGGGGCATCTGGAAAGAAGAGTGATGGACCGCTTTCCCTCTTACGAGTTGTGCTGGATGGAGGACGGACTTGAGAACAAGAGACTTGGGAAGACTGCGGAATAGCAACCACGTTGCCGCCTTCCATCACACGGTTCCGAGTACGTGACGGGCTGCTCTTGTACGCAGGCACGGCATGTGCAAGACCTTCGACGTACAGATAGGTTACTGGAATTCGGAGCCGAAGTAAAGTAGTATTTTGTTGAGTCTGTTGATCAATCTCGCAAGAGTAAATCCCAGTGGAGGCCATAATGGCGAGGCGAAGTCGCAACCTCACAAACTTTGTCAGGCCTTACCTCGTTCACAATATCAAAGTCATTTGATGTGATTTCGGTATGAAGAGATACACTGCCATTATTCGCAGGACCTCATGAATCATGATCCATGAACCATGAACTTTAGGAGCAACATGCAGGACGGGGCTGGCGAGCAGCGAATACTGATATCGTGGGCTGCAAGGCTCACCCTTGCTTGGAGCCTTACGGCCTCTGGAGTCAGACATGGATGGCCTCGCATTCAAAAGGTTCCGTCCATCTTGCACGATAATCCATCTGCACCCCAAGCGGGTACGCGTCTATGCGAAGCAAGATGCATCCTGGAGATCTCATCGAGAGAGCAATTGTCCTCGCGCTTTCCACATGTCGCAAGGCCGGTATTGAACATCGGTGCAAATGTACCGATGGAGTCTGGGCCACAATGCGTTGTCTAAGGCCCACTCGCACTCTCAGTCTTGGATGGGCTAAAGACAACGACAACGACGACCTCATACCTTTCCAATATCCGCCTTATGGCAAACGCATCAGGCTCACATCTGGGGGCCATGTAGGTGGCCTGGGGAAATTGACCGTCGACAACTGTGATGCCCCAAGCTAGAACAGCCGTTCAACGTGCATTTAGAGCCTTGCACGTGCGCCATGCAGCGTGTGCGACGAGACCATATAATCTTCGCTGTTTTCATATCGCCCGTTCGGAGAACGTCTAGCCTCGTGGCTTGACTGTGATGAATCAGTATACTCTTCGCCCACAGCACCATCCACTGAGGTTCCGAGCCAGAGAAGTTCCCACAGGCAGACTTGACAGTCCCACTCACCCCATATGAACCCAACATTTTAAGAACCAGCATTTCCGGGCCAGACGCCAGAGCTGTGCGCATTCCCTAATCTCTGGAGTCTGGGAACCTGGAAACGTACTCATGAAGCCATACATGACCCTGATCGGCAAGCACATGCAAGTAATCTGAATGCAAAGCTTATCGGCGAGCATGCAAGTATATCTAGATGAAAAGGTTATCACGGTTGGTCTGTTTCATCTCTGCCATAGGCGAGCACGGGGATCTGTACCTGATCGGCAGCGGTCTCGCTCAGTCCACACAAAAATGCCATGCGTCACCACTCCCGATACATATTCGGGACGATATTTCCGGAAAGTGTCTGTGTCGATGGAAAAAGCTAGCGGATTTCTTCTCCTTTTAGATGACATGTGAGATCTGCTCGCTTGTTGTTTTGAGGTTGCTTGCAATCATGACCTATCACGGCAGTTTTGTTTGACGAGTAATTACAACCGTCTGCTCGTCATGGATGTAGGAGCCATGTGTAAAGACAACGACGCATGGATTTCGACATCAACGGCGGGAAATGCCTTACCTTGTTGGGGAGAGCGAAACATTCTGCAGAAGCATCCCGACCATGGACTTTTGGCGAGCCGGCACGGCAGAGAGCATTCAAGGCCCGGCAAGTTACGAGGGGAAGGTCGTGGAGGACTTGGTCGAATTGATTGAGTGCCGAAGATCTTGAGGTCTCTCAAGGGCTGTTGCGCTTTGTGCACCACTTTCCTCTTCTCACGATCTTTTGAGTAGAGGTGTGCGCTGAGTTTACGCGAGACTGGGGTGCTTTTGCCAATGCCGCTCCATCCGGGTATTCTTGCTGCAGATCTGAAACAGGTCCAATCCTGCCGTTTCCAAGGGCAACACTTACCTACTACGTGATCACCAAGCTGGGCTCGCCCTCGTTATTTTTGGTGGGACATTGATAGTATAGTACAGTAGTTGTGGTCACCCACTCATATTGTCCCCTGTTGACATGTTACACTCGTCGTGCGTAGCACTACCACAGCAGAATCGCGAAAAGCGATCGGGGAACGACCGGACGGATTACAATCCTCAATCCAAGACAGTGGGAGCAAACTTTTGGCGCGCATGACCATCTGCAAAGATCCTGCTGTGCTCACAAGAAAACGTGAATGATAAGGATTTGTGAGAGGTGTTGGCAGAAGGGAATGACACCTTTATCGGCCGGCTGTGTGATGCGAAGCTTGCTGACATTTGCTGCTGTGCAACCGCGGAGGTAAATAGACGTGATTGCTCCTGCGTATGCGGATCAGGGTCGGTATCCAGACAAAGTGGCACCGTCTGACAGGGAGGACATCGAACAAGGTCCAGCGGGTTCGCGACAGCGGCTACGCTAACTTCAGGCCAGTAGGATTTACGGTAGAGTGATGGCCTTTCCACGTGTTAACGACTAACGCCATATCGTTGTGTGCGATTGCCTCCGGACGACGAAAAGGAACAATATTGATTGCACCTGAAGACCTACAGCCGTCAGACAGTGCCACCTCTCCGGAACCAGGCTCACTGGGTAGTGCTGCATTGAACCACTGCAGGAATGTTGACCTACCAGACTAGACACTTCGGGATGAAAGCCCGTCCGAACGGTTCGATCTTTTGCATTGGGATAAATATTCCCTCGAGTATCGCACAAGGACACTTCCCACGTGCAGCCGCTTCCACATCCTGTAGCATCACAGCTGGGCAATACGATCCCAATGCCGAAAATAACATGCCTGGCGCTGAGGTCGACGCGTCTTTGAAAGACGGTGCTTCTGCGTGTCACCACAGAAGTCTATTCGTCACCATAGTGAGAGGCGGTGCCAATAGGAACATCAAGGTTCCGGGACCTTGCCGCGCGAATTATGCTAGATTTGTTCGTGCACCGTATCCGCTTTAGAATAGTCGCTATATTGCTCTAAACCCATCTATCGCAAACGGTCGTAGTACAATTCGAGAAGTGATAATTGCAGGACCGGCATTTCGTGTTCGGCAATGAAGTACGGCCCCTGGATGGGAGTGACATCCTCCACAGATGACCCGAAGTACGATTCTCCAATATGCGTTACGAATTGTTAATCACCCGGTTTGTTTGCGTGAAAGATGATATCTCCATTGGCTTGGCAGGCGGCCTCGGTATGCAGTGCTTTGTAAGATGATCGACCAAATCAGCAAGGAAGCACGGGCTCATACGGAGGTGAGCCCACGAAAAAAAATCTTTACAATAGACGGGATGATGACCGGGTGTAGGCCCGGGTCGACCGACGGGATAGACATCATTATTATGCCTCGTTCAAGCAACTGCTCAGCTTATGTGCATTGAGTTGAGGTTCTGAAAGTGCAGTGATAGCCTTCATCGGAGCCGTACCTCGAATGATCTTGACACGAGAGACGGAGTATAGCAACGCATATGCCAATGATACAAACGAGCCTAGAATCAGGCTGAGTCAGGCTGGGGACGGAATGGCGATCACTAAAACCTAGTGTCCTCTCCTGCAACTACTACGTAGGGCCATGACGATCGACACATGTCACTGGCTGACGAGGCTGCGACCCTAATAGTAATTGTAAGCCTAACTGCACCTTTGTGCTTAAGCATATTATCTGCGGCGTCGGACGTGGACGAGAGTGGCTGAAATCCCCAGCATCGTCGGCGACCGTTGTGGCAAAAGTCAACCTGGGGCCTCCGATGTCGTCACCGCGTCAGCTCTGCAGAAGACAATCCCTGGGGCCTGCCTGAGTGTTCAACATAACGACACGTTATCCCGAGCAAGGCTGTGGGGCGCTTCGCCGCAGAACAACTGACGGAAATGGGGTGTTGGGTGGCATGATATTGCTCACAGTTGTGCAGAACAGGTTCAATGAAGCCAGCAAAGTCACTGCATGGAGTAATCCAAAACTGCCAAAGGTTGTTAGTAATTGCATCAACCTACCTCGGGGTGCTCGGGTCACAATCTACTCCGCGTCCATGCCGCGCATTCAAGGTGCTGTATGGGCGGCCTGGTGTCATCGAAACCTTCGGTGGGTGAGCTTCAAAGTGCTCTTCCGCATATTCACATGTTTTTGCAGTTTCGATTAGGCGAGTGGCGTTCTAGACACGGTGGCTAGCATCGACAAAGTTTGTACATTGAGTGGTGGAGGGATGAATCTCTTGTCGAACTCTGGTTGCTGGTTGCTGGGCGTTGAAATGGCGGGGGATCTGCATCTTGACAAAATGCAGACACGAAATGAAGCCGAGGCCAGCTGCTGGAGACTCAGGCATATGCTCTGTCCGTGCGTTCACCGTCCCCATATCATCCAATCGTGCAAGGAAGAAGCTGGTGGCTAGATAAACATGGGGTTAGAAAGAATCATCCAGCCCGTCAATCGCATGGCAAAAGACTAAAAACGAGCAACCAAGATAAAGAGAAGAGGCCCTTGACCTGAAATATGCTAGTGCCCGTACATATGCGGGAGGAGGAAATGTCGGCAGATTTTTAAATGACAGCACTTGGTGGAGGTATTCAATACGTACCGCATGCTGATCGATAGACATCTGGTGCGAGGGTGATCAACATGAGAATTGATGGTAGATTATTGCCAGCTTCACATGTAGTGAACATGTCGGTGGCTCGTTTAGTTTGTGACAGCATGGCCTCAGTGCATGTACAGTCCA